GTGGCCATGCAGCTTTGGGGTTTTTGTTTTGTCTTTGTGTTTTTTTAAATATATTTTATCGATTTTTTTACAGAGAGGAAGGGAGAGGGATAGAAGAGTTAGAAACATCGATGAGAGAGAAACATCGATCAGCTGCCTCCTGCACACTCCCTACTGGGTATGTGCCTGCAACCAAGGTACATGCCCTTGACCAGAATCGAACCCGGGACCCTTGAGTCCGCAGGCCGACGCTCTATCCATTGAGCCAAACCGGTTAGGGCGGGGTTTTTGTTTTTAGTGAAAGATCCTTGTCCGTATTTATAGCCAAAAGAAAAGGGCCAGTGGACAAAGGAGAGCTGAAGGTGGAGTTGGAGATGAAAGGACCCTGTCCTCAGATCTGGATGTGTACTCGAGAGCCTGTGGGGAAAGGAACAGGAAGCATTGGGGAAGCAAGCTGCTGACCTCCATTTCCTCAGCAAAGTAGAAAAGGCAGGGCTGGAGGAGAGAGGAAGGTTTCTGAGGGAATAAAAGAGGGGACTGACCAAGGCTTAGGGAGATGGATGGCGCAAAGACCGGACCATCACTCTGTCCCCTGGCAATGCAGCAGGGCAGACAGCGATTAGAGGGGTCAAAGTTCCCAGTGAGATGCAGGCCACAGTCAGAACTGAAGACTGCAGAGGGCGGCAAAAACAGGGTGTGGCTCTGGGAGTGGGTGGCTGAGGAGAAGGCAGAGAGGTCATCTAACTTAAAGAGGTTCCGGAAGGTCCGGCCTCTGTGGTTCAGTGGTTGAGCCTCGACCCAGGAACCAAAAGGTCAACAGTTCGATTCTGGTCAGAGCACATGCCTGGGTTGAGGGGGGTGTGCAGGAAGGAGCTGATCCATGTTGATGTTTCTCTCTCATCGATGTTTCTATCCCTCTCCCTTCCTCTCTCTCTAAAAATCAATAAAACATATTTTTTTTAAAAAAAAGAGAGAGGCTCCAGAAGCCTGAGGCTGGTGACTGGCTAATGGCAATGGAACTTGTTGAGAGATGGGAAAGTTCCAAAGACATCAATGAATGGCAGAGGGATCAGGAGGTCAGCTGGTGCCAGGGCCAAGGAGAGGAAGGAATGGCACAGCGAGGGGGAAACACACCCTGAGGATAAGGTTTATCAGACATCACCTGAACTTGGGCTCCCTGCAGACTTCCTTGTATAAAAACTTTGTATTATTCAGGTTGAATAACATAAAATTGCCACTTTTATAGTTCTAGAATGTCAAATATTAGCAGATAAATTTCAGCAGTTCAAAAAACTAGTTGCCCTTTTTTTTCATCCTCAACAGAGAATGTTTTTGGTTTTTGTTTTTTGTTTTTTTTAATATATTTTATTGATTTTTTACAGAGAGGAAGGGAGAGGAATAGAGAGTTAGAAACATCGATGAGACAGAAACATCGATCAGCTGCCTCCTGCACACCTCCCACTGGGGATGTGCCCGCAACCAAGGTACATGCCCTTGACTGGAATCGAACCCGGGACCTTTCAGTCCGCAGGCCAACGCTCTATCCACTGAGCCAAACCAGTCACGGCAGAGAATGTTTTTAATTGATATTTTAGAGAGAGAGGAAAGGAGCAAGAGAGAGAAACATCAATGTGAGAGAGAAACATCGATCAGTTGCCTCCTGAATGTGCCACGACTGGGGATCAACCCAAAACCTAGGTATGTGCCCTGACCAGGAATTAAACCCAAAACGTTTTAGTGCACAGGACGATGGTCCAACCTAAACTGGCTTCTCTTGAAAAATAAAACCCACACAGATCTATCATCACTCACCTTCCCCTTCCACGTGGCTTCAATGGGCCAGGACTGAGTGACAGCTCCCTTTAGAAAGGATGACCCAATACCCCCTATGGTCTTGTGCCTTGGGCCCCTTCACATCTCACATTACCTGCCTGGGTCTAGCCACCTCAGCTTCACACAAGGACTCATGAGTAGCTGCGGAGGCCCACAGAACACACCCCGCTAGTTTCTGCAATGAGCAGGGACAGGAAAGTAAAGAGCCTTTTGCAACAAAGCAATGGAAAGTCTTTCTCTTTAGAAGACAGCCCCTGCTTTTGCTCCTGGCACCTGCCAGGCAGGAGAGGCAACAGCTTCCCACCTCATCTCCCTGATGCCAGGCCAGGCCACAACAGCCACACCAGAAACTCTCACCTATTGTTCCCAGATGAGCCTGAAACCCTTCCACATTTCCCCTCCCAAAGGCAGGCCACACACTCCCTTGATCGCCTGACCCCTCCCTCCTGGGCTGCAACCCTGGGGAGTGTAGTGGAACAATCCACATCCACTCGCCTTGCCTCCTCTTGCCCTGCCTCCTCTTGCCCGCATTCTTCCCTCTGCCTGAATGCCCCCATTTGACCTATCACATAGAGCTTCCTCCCTCAAGATCCAGTTCAGGGCGTCCTGAGCTGCTAGCTAGAATGAATGCATGACACCCAGGACAAGCCTCCGTCCCTGGCAGGATAACCAGCAGCCAGCAACCCCTAGAGCTGGGGGCCTCGGCTTTCCTGCTTATCAGTGAGGGAGGGAAGGAAGCCCTCTCCCGGGCCTCTTCTCGGAACCTCAAGCCTACGAGTCCTAAGCACCGTCCAAAGAACTAACCGGGATCTGTGAGGGCCTGGGTTAGGCTGGGAAAGACTGTCAGACACCGGTGAGCTTTGCAAAAGCTGTCAAGAAGGATTCTCTTTGGAAACATCCCAAGTACAAAGCACAGCCCAGAGAGAGGACAGCCTAGTCTGACTGGCTTGGTCCCCTCTTCCTCAAGGTGGACTCTCCCTCCCTCCCACACTCTACCTCCAACAGCGACCATCATCGGAGCCTCAGGTCAGGCGGGACCCGGTGATACTTGGACCCCGCCAGCACCCCGATATTGTCCACAACCTACACTGCTGGGGGCGAGGAGGAGTGCCGGGAGGGCGGGTCCCTACACTACTTAGGGTCACAAAGCATCGAGCAGGATGAACAGAGGCAAGTGCCAAGGGTGCAGAAGAATTTCTCCGGCAATGGCTCGTGCTGCCTGTTAACATCACTTTTTCTCCGTTAGGATAAAGGCTTCAATTCACTTTCCCAGAAGCCCTTCTCCAGGTGGGAGACCAAGAGGCGAGGGCGGCGGTTCACACTCGCACCCCGGGTGCTCCCTCTTCCCACGCGGGCCCAGCCCCGGCCACCCCGAGGCCGGCCCAGCCGCCACCCCGAGGCCATCCCGACCCGCTCACCGAAGTAGTCCCGCGCCGTGCGCGCTTCCAGCGCCCGCTCCAGCTCTCGGGTCAACGCCTCCAGCCGCCGCTTCTGCCGCGCTGGGGCCGTCCCTCTCGGCCGGAGGGCAGCGGAGCGAAAGCAAGAGGGAAGGGGGCCGGCCTGACAAGCTCGGGGA